TCGTTTGCCGAATCTCTAGTCTATTATATGGTATAATCATGATATGCGCTAAGAAGACCTCTGGTGGTCGGTTTTCAGTATTATTTAGTTGCTTGCACAACCCTGCTGATCAGAAAGGTTATAATCACGACCTCAATTGTTTGTAAGATTACAGTATCAGTAGTCCAGTGTTGTGTGCATCGTATGAGTATCAATATAAGGACATTTTGTCATGACATACTTAACGGTCAATTAATTAGAGACCTCTTGTTTTCAGTGTTCTACATCAATTCCTCTGGGTTCCGCTACCCCACCAACTGTTTCACTCTACATAGGTCAGTTCATATATTTAATTATACCTTCATGGGTCACGCCAGACCAGATTCCTCAAAGATATTTTCTGTATTACTAGGTATAAGCATCCTAGCACTTTGTAGTATTCAGGTTCCAGTCACCTAAACTGTTGGAATATTATTTATAGGTATCTGATCAGCAGGGGGTCAAGGGCTACATATTTCAACCCTTACGAACTCATGTTACTCTTGTAGGTTACTACAGCTCACCTGGGTCACGTGTCCTACTTTCTGCAAATTTCACTACTAGTGAAGTACTACTGGTAGGTATCAGATTAGCTGGGGATTTAGGGGCACAATTTCGTTTTATTTTACCCATACAAACGTCAATTACTCTTGTAGATTACGACAGATCTCCTGTACACTTCTTCTCATACTATCTGGCAACTTACTCAACAGGTACGTCACGTTTCGACTACTTCTCCCTCCCTACCTACCCTTTAGGGTTTATACAGATACTGGCAAGAAATAGGACCCACTAGGTATGTTTTTCTGGCCTTCTACGCCTTACGTTAGTGGTCCCGCGAGGCCAACACCCATCCTCAATTCGGAGGTACGGCATCCCCTCGGGCCCATTCATAGCTAGCCGCCTCGCTTAGTTGCATAGAGAGGGCCTCACTTGTCACTCCCATTCTGTCTTATGCCTTTACAAGTCACAGAGAGGCCACCACCCTGCCATAATGCCAATGGCCACGTATCCCACACGCGCCAAATCATAGTGCCTCTCAAGGCCGCTTGGCCACTAGTAGGGCCTCACCTGTCACGTCGCTTAATAATTCTTCGCCGCTTGGCATTTAGTGACAATAGCCAGTTGGGTAGCCCCAGATAACATACTATTTTATGTTGTAGCATGTCACAAGTTCCTGAAGAAAGGGAAGATGTGTCCATCGCCAGTACACCGGCTAGATCGGTCACTCCATCGCGGGGTGACGACAACGCAAGCCCTGCATCACTCAGGGCGTGGACTGTTCCAAGAATTACGGCTGAATTAAGGAAGAGAAATATTCCGTTCCCTGCTACAGCTAGGAAAGCTGAGTTGTACAGACTATTAAATACCCAGACTGATAACTCTGGGGCAGGGGAAGGATCCAGCGGGAACCATTCCTCAGATCTGCAGTCAGTTTTGTCGTCAGTCCTGGCCTCTTTGGGTCGTATTACGGACAAACTGGACAAAATGGATGCAGATAGCCAGCAAAGGTCGCCTGCTACTGCAGGGAGCCCAGTTGCTGCAGTATGCTTGGACCCTCTACCGGGTAATTTACCAACTAGCTCTAAAGACCAACATATAATTAACCCAGCACACATGGTACCTGCTAAAACCAGAAAGGACATCTTGGAAGGAAAGGATATCAATCTGGTATCACTTTTGATTGCCTCACAAGATGTCCTTGAGAATAAGACATATGCATATGGGGATGTGTCAGTAGTTCTCAAGTCCAGAGATCCCAGGCTGAATCAAAAGCTTTCCATTCCAGAATTTGTACTGGCCTTCGGTATATACAGGGACGTCCTATGCTCTGTATATCCAAATAGGAGGGAAGAATTGGACCTTTACCTCCACAAGCTGGTGGATTTGGGGCACAAGTACGGTGGTACGTCATTTTACGACTACCACCGTGCTTTTTCCGCAAAGGCGTCGGCCACCCTAGCACAGTTCAATATTCAGGCTGATTGGGGTGTGCTTGATACTGAGCTGTTTTGTCGGCACTTTGCGGGCCTGAAAACTCCAGCTTGTGCCATTTGCTCATCCAATTCCCACACGGCTAATTTATGCCCTAATTCTCCTGAGGTGAATGCTGTTTTTTCACCTGCTAATGTGGTACCCACAGGGAGGTCTGGCAGGGTGCTTAAAGACAAACTAGGCCGTGATATAGTGTTCTTGGGCAAGTCACAGGTCTGTAACAATTTCAACACCGGCTCTTGCGGTTACAGTGCCTGCAGACTTCTGCATGTCTGTTCAATCTGTTTCAGGGCTCACGCCAAGGCAATGTGCCCTAATAAACTATTCCCTAAGCAGTATCAAACGTCTCTTCATGTCTCCCTACTGAAAGAACTTTTACGTAATCACCCATCACAACATCTCGTTGACTTTTTGGTGACAGGGTTTACGATGGGGTTTCACACGGGTATTGTGCACATGCCTACAGGGATCCTGGAATGTAAAAACTTACAGACAGCCCTAGCAGCACCCGACACTATCAACTTACTCCTTCAGAAGGAAATGGACCAAGGTTTCTTGTTAGGCCCTTTTGACTCCCCGCCGTTCACGGTTTGGAGAACTAATCCCATAGGACTGGTCACTAACAAATCCTCACAAAAACAAAGGCTAATTCTCGACCTGTCAGCCCCCCATGCATCTCCTACTCCAAGCCTAAATTCATTAATACCGTCTGAAGAATTCTCCCTCCAATATGCTAACATAGATAACGCAGTCACAGCCATCCTCTCAGCCGGGGTAGGGGCATGGCTATGTAAAACGGATATTGTGAACGCTTTCAAATTACTCCCCATTCATCCATCCCTATGGCATTTACATGGGGTTAAGTGGCAAGGCTCGTATTACTTTTTCACTCGTCTCACGTTTGGTTCAGAAAGCAGCCCCAGGATCTTTGATATATTTGCGGAGACACTGTGTTGGATGCTGCTTAACCTCTGTAAATGCCCCACAGTTATCCATTACCTGGATGATTTCCTGACCGTAGAAAGTAACTCAGCACCTCCTACTAGCCTCCAGTCAATCACACGACTGTTCACACGATTAGGAGTTCCGGTATCACCGGCAAAGACTGAAGGTCCCGATACTATAATCAATTTCTTAGGGGTAGTACTCGACTCCGTGAACATGCAGGCTAGCCTCCCCAGGGAAAAGATCGAACGCATCCTGGCAGCCATCGACCTTTACTTGGGAGGAGGCTCATGTAATAGGAAGGAATTGCAATCCCTGCTGGGTTCATTGAATTTCGCAATGAAAATTATTCCACAGGGGAGAGCATTCATTTCCAGGTTGCTTAGTCTGTTTCCAATGTTTCAAACTGACGCATCCCGCATTTCACTAGACATACATGCCACAGCTGACCTTCGTATGTGGGAGGAGTTTTTGCTAAACTGGAACGGGAAAAGCATTTTTATCCCGGTTTGGTCAGAAAATTCGGTATCACTCTGGACAGATGCCGCAGCCACTTCTGGATTTGCCGCTATTTGGGGCAACAAATGGATGTATGGTAAATGGCCAGGAGAGATTACTGAGATCCCCAGGTTTAAGGAAACTTCAGCACTATTTGAGCTGTATCCTATCGTAGCGGCAGCAGTTAAGTGGGGAGCAGGCTGGTCTGGGAATACGGTTCGTTGCTTCTCAGACAACATGGCTACATGCCATGTTGTAAATAAGGGACGTTCCTCTTCCTTGGCCATCATGAGGTTCATGAGGACTCTCACATGGCTGGCCGCTAAACACAGTTTCCTTTTGTCTTGCTTTCATGTGCCTGGTTTTCTCAATATTGCAGCTGATCACTTATCACGGTCTCGGTTTCAGGAGTTCCGGGAAGCCCTTCCAACAGCTGCCCTAATACCAACTCCGGTACCACAGTGGCAGGAAATGGTCTGGGACTAAAAGAGCTGCTATGTCATGGGCGGCAACTCTCACAGCTCGGTCTTTCTGCTAATACTAGGAAGGCATATGGTAGAGCTTTTGATGTATTTAATAAATTCTTGTTGGACTTTAGTATTGTTGACCAGTTTTCCATGGAGACCATTATTGCTTTCATCTCCTTTTGCCACCGTCATCTAACATTGTCATACAACACCATTAAATTGTATATCACAGGTATTCAGCACCACATAATCACTTCTTGGCCTAACAAACAACGCTTTCTATCCTCCTACCAAGTTAAAGCTATACTTAAAGGTATCAAAGACTCCACTCCTACACCCTCACCTGCTAGACTACCCATCCACGATCTATTATTCCAGGCACTATCAAATCTACTAGACACCTCACCATTCGAAGGTCATACCAATCGTGTTATTAAAACAGCCATCTATCTGGCATTTTACGGTTTTCTGCGGCCCAGAGAATTCACCACCACTAGCGTTAACTCACTCACCTTCATCACTAGATCCGATCTCATAAAGGTGCACGATCACTATCAACTATCCCTACACCACACCAAAACTAGCGCCAAAGGTCAGACAGTCATTATACCCTATTACCCCACTAGTAATATCTGGTGTCCGGTGGAAGTTTTTGACACTCTTCTGGCTTTCTGTAATATGGCTCCAACACAGCCACTCCTAACCTTGCACGGTAATGTACTCACTACGAGCAAATTCATGATGTATGTTAGGATGTTGTTGATCCGGCTAGGTTTGAACCCAGCCAGCTATTCCGGACACTCCTTCCGCATAGGAGCCGCAACTACAGCTTCAAAAAAGAATATACCGGCTCACGTTATCAAAATATTAGGCTGATGGAAATCCACAGCATATACCCGCTACATTCCCCAGCCTGTACAAGAAGTACGCCTGGCTTTCAAAACCATGAATATGTAATGTGTAGTGTTGAGTTATGGTACAATAAATGGTTATATCTTTTGCCCTCTTTTTTCAGGCCTACTTCCTCGTCAGTTCCGGCACACCACAACTGACATTTCCATTCTATGTTTGTCTTATATCAATAATACTACGGCTTATGCCATGACCACAAATGGAAGGCGTGGCCTGAAGTTGTGGGAGGGGCTTGGTTCCCCTTCTTAAGGAGCATCAACCCTTCCCTCATTACCTGTTGGGTCTGGCGAATTGTCCCACCCACCACACCACTTTTATAAGCATTCTATAAGGTAGGCCCTCTTTTTCAGGCCTACTTCCTCGTCAGTTCCGGCACACCACAACTGACATTTCCATTCTATGTTTGTCTTATATCAATAATACTACGGCTTATGCCATGACCACAAATATATATATATATATATATATATATATATATACACACACACAATCAGAGACATACACCCACATAACCACAGACGCACACACACACACAATCACAGACCTAGACACACAATCACATACATAAACACACATAATCAGAACACACACATAATCACAGAGATACACACATACAATCACAGACACACAATCACATACACATATAATTATATGTGCACACACAATCATCACATACATACACACATTTAATAAGAGGTCCATCTAACCTTCCTACCTTGCTCTAGGAGGGCTGGGATCGCTGTGCTCTTCCTGCACATGTCCCTCGCGTGCACTGTAATGACGCCGATTAATTCATATCCCAGCCGCCGGCTCACTGCAGGGCGAAGACAGTCAGATACAGTTAGATGCACACAGTTATACACATATACTGTCAAATACAGCCACATGCACACAGTCCCAGGTACATAGTCACTCGCACACAGTCAAACACACAATTACAGGCAGGCTGTAACACACACTGAGTGACATGCAGACAGTCACACATACAGTCACAGCTAGACATTCTCACACACAGTTACAGGCAGACAGTCACACACAGTCACAGCCAGACATTCACACACACAGTTACAGGCAGACAGTCACAGGTAGACAGTTACACACACAGTCAAAGGCAGTCACACACATTCACAGGAAGACAGTCATACACACAATCACAGGCAGACAGTCAAACACACTGTCACAGTCACAATCAGATAGTCACACATACAGTCACAGACAGACAGTTACACATACAGTCACAGACAGTCACAGGCAGACAGTAACACACAAACAAACAGTCTCAGACAGTCACACACAGTCACAGGCAGACACAATCACAGTTACACACAGCACACATACAGTCACAAGCAGTCGTCACACACACACAGTCACATACAGACACAATCACAGTTACACACAGCACACATACAGTCACAGACAGACACAATCACAGTTACACACACAGCACACATACAGTCAAACACACAGACAGACACAATCACAGTTACACACACAGCACACATACAGTCAGTCACACATGCACACACACTGTTACAGACACAATCACAGTTACACACACACTGCACACATACAGTCACAGTGACACACAGTCACAGGCAGACACAATCACAGTTAACACACACACAGCACACATACAGTCACAGGCAGTCACACACACACAGTCAGACAGACACAATCACAGTTACACACACATTACTCATACAGGCACACACACACAGTCACAGACAGACACAATCACAGTTACACACACAGCACACATATAGTCACAGGCAGTCACACAGACAGACACAAACACAGTTACATACACAGCACACATACAGTCACATACACACAGTCACAGACAGACACAATCACTGTTACACACACACAGTCACACACACAGTCGGTTACACACACAGCACACACACAATCACAGTTACACACACAGCACACATACAGTCACACACACACAGTCACAGACAGACACAATCACAGTTACAGACACACAGTGCACACACTCTCTCACTTACTGGAGAAGGAGTGTAGTCATTGAAGTCCCCGAAGTCACACATACAGTTACACACACACAGTCACACACAGCACACACTCTCTCACTTACTGGAGGAGTGTAGTCATTGCAGTCCCTGGTGTGCAGTTGTTGGGGAAGCAGGTAGTCCTACCTGCTTCCCCTCTGTGTGCAGCTGCAGCAGCAGCGGGTGGGAGCAATCTTTAACTCCACCCCCTGCAGATTTATCCCTGCCCCCACTGCCAATTTGGCTCTGCCCCCAGCTCTCCGGGAAGTTCTGCTCCCGGTCCCTGCGTGTGAGCTGTGTCGGCTGCCCGGCGCCCCTACTACCATGGCGCCATGTGCAGCCACACAGCTCACACAACCCCAAGGCCAGCTCTGGAGGCACCCCCCTACCTTGTGGCACCCGGGCGGACCACAAACCCCCCTGACCCCCATTAGTACACCATTGCAACTTCCAAAATACTTTACCAGCTGGTGATCTATATTTGCTACTTGTGAGGATCTGTATTTGAGAGCAGTGTCTGTGTGCCTGAATGTAAGCAAGTTTGTTTGTATAAATATAGGTGTGTATTTTTGTGTAGTGTTGATGTTTGAGTGCAGAGTTGTGTTTGTATAAGGTTTTGCTGTTTGCTTGCAGGGGTATATTAGTAGGCAGTGTTGGAGTTTGACTACAGGGGTGTGTATGTAAATGGTATTGCTGTTTGACTGCAGTGGTGTATTTGTATGTAGTGTTGCCGTGTAGCATGCAGGGGTGTGTTTGTGTGTAGTGTTTGGCATTTGAATTCTTAGATGTACGTACATATACACATACAGTGCTACACCAACAGAGATACACACACACACAAACACAGTTTTTGACACACATACACTGTCATACAAACATATATATACACATACTGACTGTTGGGGTCTTAACTTGCTCCTGCAGCTACCCACAGCTCAGGTCCATCTGCTACAACATAACATGCGCCTGCCTACTATGATGGAGCAGTATGCAGAATGACATCACAGCATGATGCTGTGATGTGGACACTATACAGGAGGGGTGTGGCCTTCGACCCTATATAAAGATGCTTAGCCATTCCTTTGAAAAATCTTGCAGAGTTAGCAGAAATGCTTAATGTTCTCAGTCAATAGGTCTCTACATTTATCTAAACTGTGCATGATCTGCAGAACCAAACCATTTCCCCCATAGCTACACTATCTCCACCTGATTTGGCAGCTAATCAAGTACCCCTACCTGAGGATCAACCTGCTGCACCTAAATCACAAATCCCTCTACCAGAATGCTTCGCTGGGGCCTGGACTAAGTATCATGGGTTCCTAATGGCATCCAAACTCCAATTTGACTGAAAGTTTGCACATATGACTACATATCCTTCCATACAGTGGGATCCCTCTGAAGCATATCAACAATTTGCAAATATGTTCGATAAAAATGGGGTAGATGCATTGCCTCCTACATGATCATATGACTGTCCAATTGACTTGCTTTCAGGGTTCTCTGTCCTATATGGGAGATTATTACCCCCTTGTTGAGAAGGAGTTACATATGCTGAAGGAATACATTCAAGACAACTTACATAAAGGTTTTATAAAACCCTCCACATCACCTGCTGGAGCAGGAATATTTTTTGTGGGTAAGAAAGATGGTAGTTTATGTTCCTGAGTAGATCTCAGCCACATCACTGTAAATAAAAAATTACCCACTGTCCTTCTTCCCTGAACTTATGGAACTTCTCAGGTCTGCCACCCTTTTTTCCAAGTTGGAGTTAAGGGGAGTATATAACTCGATAAGAGTACTCTTGGCGGAAGAGTGGAAGACTGTCCCCTAAAGTGCCAATTATGGGCACTTTCAGTATTTGGTGATGCCCTATGGGCTCTGCAATGCCCCTCCTCATTCCAGCATTTTCTAAAGAACAATTTTCATGACCTACTCGATCAATAGTTTATGGTTTACTTAGACGACATCCTTGCGTTCTTACATGATTTGCTCACCCATCAACTCCACATGCAAGAAGTAATGAAACCCCTCTGACAACAATATTCTTAAGCAAAAAGTGTTAAATGTATATTCAAATCCAATCGGCTGGGATTCCTTTGTTTCATCATAACACCAGGCTGGTTGGAAATGAATCCCCAAAAAATCAATGCTATCCTTAATTGGTCTATTCCTACAAACAAGAAACATGTACAGGGCTTTATCCAAAACCTTCCCAAAGATGTACAGTCTCACATGTACCTAACCAAAAATGCTACCAAGTACATCTGGTCTCCTACCACCCATGCTGCCTTCACTGTACTAAAACATACTTTATACTAAAACTGCTCCAATTCTCTATCTCCCAGATCTCCTCCAGCCCTATTATCTAGAAGTGGATACGTCTGATGTAGACATTGGGGCCATCTTATCTCAGAGAGATGAGAAAAAGAAGGCTTACACCCCACTGATTTCTATTCACAGAAATTAAATGATTCAGAACACAATGATGATGTAGGAGACAAAGAATTGCTGGTCATTAAATGTGCCATTGATAAGTGTAGACTAGGGAGCCAAATACCATTTGAAGTGTACACTGACAACAAAAATTCAGAGTATCTTCAAACAAACTAGAAAATAAAACCACATCCGGCTAGATGGGCCCTGTAGAAAAGTGAACTCTTAAAATAATAATTCTGCTTGATACCCATTCATACATGTATATATATTCTTCTTTCCTTGTTGTTGGATGGCTCGTCTGGTATCCTATGTATTTTGTTCTTCTGTGGCAATCATAATTTCCTGGCTTTTTAAAAAAAAGAAATTTATTATTTTTGCTCCAGAAATACAAAGTCAGTACTTACAACGTCATAGATGTTAAATAGGTCAATAGCTGATGGTACATGCTGGACATTCAGAGTGTGGAAGCACTCTCCCTTGATGTCTGGTGTCTCAGAGTCTGTGTCTCACTGTCTCCCAGACTCCCTGTACACAGATAATACATTCTACATATGTGCCACCAAAATGGCTGTGTAAGCATTACAAAGTTAATGCTATTGATACAATATGCTTGTTGGCAATTCTAATAACCCTATTAGGTCTTCCCACGTTACATGTTCCTTGTACCACTCATTGTCATCTGTTCATGTCAATCAATATCAATCACACCTCATTGTGAGATGCATGTAAGAAACATTTTAGAATATTTTACAGGCCCTCTCCTTTCCAGAACAGAGATAGCACCTTAGGTTATGGTGCATAAAATCCAGGAGTTATCTCATACAAATGGCTTAAATAAAACAAAGTAAATATTACAGCATTTGAGTAGTGTGTCTTTAAAAAAATAAATGGATTCGATAAGGTGCAGTGTGCAGCAAAAAAGTGTA